CTCCTGTGCAGCTATGGCCCCTGCGTAGATCTCAGCCCCACAACTGGAACTGAGAACAGAAGACGAGCGGGTAGACCGCCAAGAAACAGAGCCAGAGCCAAGGTTGAAAGTGTAACCCTGTGACGACCGCTGAGTAGCCAATTCGTCAACCCAAGAAGCGTCTGTGTGTCCAGTGACGACAACTGGACCCCGTCCTCTAAGCACGAGCCCCATGCCTGACGTACTGCACAAGTTGCGCAACACCCTCTTAGCGGCCTCCCAGTGCTCTGGTTGGTGTCTCCCGGGCGCAACGTAGTGTGCCAGGATGCTAAGAGGGTAGGCAAGGTCAGGTCGAGTGCTGGTCATCAGGTATATGAGGCAGCCCACAAGCTCCGGATATGGGCCACTCTGCTCTACGGACTCGTCCGAAGGTGGAGCTGAGAGCGAGTGACCGGTAGGCAGAGGAGTGGACTGTGGCGAGGAGTACCGGAAGCCGAAGCGCTGAAGGACCTGGTGCACCATGTGTGACTGAGTCAGGGTGATGGTGCGCCGTGCTCTGTCCCGGTTGATCTGCAAGCCAAGATAGCTACGCAGCTCACCCAGGTCAGTGCTGGTGTGTCTCTTCTACTGCTCCGACTTCACAAGGGCCAGTGCCTCAGTGTCAGCAGCGGCAAAGACCAAGTCGTCGACGTACACAAGGACATAGAACGGTGGCAACGAAGTGTCGGTGCGTAGAAACAGCGACGGGTCAGCAGTAGAAGGAGCAAACCCAAGAGCCACAAGCGTCGTCCTCAGTGTGTCGTGCCACTCGCGAGGCGCCTGGCGGAGACCGTAGACTGGCCGCCGGAGGCTCTACTGAGTACCTGCAGGAAACGACCCAGTGAAGCCAGGTGGGCAGCGCAGCCAGATCTCCTCGTGCAGGCTGCCCTGCAAGAAAACTGAGCTGCGACGTGCAGCAACACTCGAAGATTGGTCATCTTCGGGGTAGGGGAGGAGGTCTGGAAGAAGTCAACTCCCTCTCGCTGAATGAAGCCTTGTGCAACGTAACGAGCCTTGAAGGCAGGCGGAGAACCTAGCGGCCTTTTCATCCTGAAAATCCACATGCCATCGACTATGTTCGCCCTAGGAGGGGAAACTGTGTCGACGTAAGTGCATGTGGACTTCCAGGATGCCATCTCTGCGTCCATGGCTGACTGCCACTGAGAGGAGTAGGGACCCGTAATCGCCTCTGCGTAAGAGCGCGGGGTCGGGATGTCTGGTGCATCCGGGTCTCCCTCAGATGCAATCAGCATGGACACGAGATGAGGTACAACATCTGCAAAACAATAAAGGTCTTCCTGCCTGTCCTCAAGGACGTCCGTGCCAAGAGCACACTCACCCCCGGCGGACGGAGGACAGCCAGACTCAGCTTTAGCAACAGGACTAGTGGCGTAGTCGAGGCGACAGGCAGCAGCAAAGTCAACAAGCTCAACAACTAGGGCAGACGCAGAAGTGGACTTAAAAGAAGGGTCAGTGACAACAGTGGTGAGAAGATGAGTGACGGTAGGACTGGCAGCACAAGCTAGGTCAGACTCAGGGTCAGGAACGACAGGAAGAGAGGACTCAGGAGGAGGCGGCAGAGGAATTTGCAGCGGAACAGAGGAAGGACGAAGTGTCATAACGTGAGTGCCGGGGACAGGAGGAGGACGCGGACGAGGAACACGACGACCAGTGCGGACAGCGCGAACAGGCGAGGCAGGACGAGACTCAGGCTCACGACGCTCTGTAAAAGAGTCTGTCTGCTCAACGTAAGGAGAAGGAGCAGGTAGTGGGGAGTCTGGCTGTAACTGTGGCAGCGACTAGCGAGGCGGAGGACTCAGTAAGCTAGGAGGAAAACCATAAGAAGACGGGAGACTAAGAACCTAGCAAAGGACAGAGTCAGGTGGCGGCAGAGACGACGGTGGCGGCGGAACGAAAAACGGGCGCCGCTGCATAGTGCCCCGAGCACCAGTACCGCCAGACGCAGTACTGCCCTTGTTTATTTATTATGGCGTTCTCCCTGGTTGGGATGCTAGGATGTGCTGCAGATCACCTTCTCGCCCTTATCCGTGCATGCAGATTGAAGCCTGATGAGCCCGAGGAGGAGAAGAAGAGATTCGAGGAGCTGAAGAAGGAATTCACTGACACATGCAAGGCGATGAAAGACATGCTGGGAGACAAGGTCGAGAAGGTGACTGTCGGCGAGCGCATCGTAGAATCCCCCTGCGTTTTAGTCACAGGGGAGTGCGGCTGGACTGCCAACATGGAACACATCATGCGAGCACAGGCTTTAAGGGACAACTCCATTGTTAGAAACCTAAGTTGACTTAGGACTTGGGTTGAGGGTAGAACGAGAGTTACGAGAGGAAGGGGTCGAGAGATTAGCCAAAAGAGGTTGTTCACTATAGAGCGAGCAGTACAAATAGGCAAGCATGAGAGTGCACCACCAAACAAGAACATAGAGCTACACTAGGTCTACACTACAGGCAGTTATAGTAATGTATACAAGTACATTCTGACACACCCCCTAACTGCCTGCAGTGAAGAACCATGTGCAGAAACACCCCCGGAAGGGGTACACCAAGCGCAGCGGAAGACGGTAGAGAGGAATGCGAGGAGGAGGAGACGAGAGAGAGAGAGGGGAGAGGAGAGGAATGAGGAGAGGAGGTGGGGGAGCCACGCGGCGAGCCCCTCTTACGAACCCCCGTTTTACGAAGGGGGGGGATGAGAGAGGGATGAGGAGAGGAGGTGGGGGAGCCACGCGGCGAGCCCCTCTTACGAACCCCCTGTTTACAAGGGGGGGTGGTGAGAGAGGGAGGAGAGGAGGTGGGGGGGAGCCTAGCGCGGCGAGCCCCTCTTACTAACCCCCTAATTCCACGCCCCCTTTCAGCCACCCCCCTTGTCAACCTCACCCCCCTTGTCAACCGCCCCTGGAACCTCACGTCTTCCCCCCACCCTTCCTCCAACGCCACCCCCTCACCCTCCCCCCCCCCCCCCTCCCCCCCACCCCAGGAGGGGCGACAGGAAGAGAGAGGAGGTGGGCTGGCGCATGCTGGTCATCCCTGCCACCCCCTCACCCTCCCCCCCACCCCACTGCAGTAGGAGTGGAGAGGTGGAGGGACGGCTGTTGGCGTGTCACACCCCCCACCCCCACACCCTCCCCCCACCCCTTTCACGGCTGCACCAGCAGCAGGGAGAGGGAGAAGGCTGGCGGCGGCGTAGCGCAGCAGCAGAGTGGCGTCAACCACCCCCGCCCCCCAACACCCTCCCCCCCCCCCTGGTGCACGAGCAGCAGTGAGAAAGGGGAAAAATGGCGGGCGAGGGTGCAGCAGGCGGCTGCAGTTGCGCGTGTGGCTGCAGCTGCAGGTGTCGCTGCAGTCGCGCGAGAGGTTGCTGCTGCGCGTGCGGCTGCAGCTGCGCAATTCGCTGCAGTCGCGCGCGTGACTGGTGACGTGTGTGCAGCTGCGCGTTCGCGGTTGCGTGCGTGCGGCTGTGCGCACTGCGCACCGCTGGACGGGGACGGGACGGGCCGGGGCAGCGAGGGACGGACGGGCTGCGACGAGGGGGCCGAAACGGGGCCGCATCTGGCGCCATCGCGCAGCTCGCCGTCATGGGCAGCGTGACGGACGGAAGCTGCGCGACGGGCAGCACGAAGCAGGGATCGAATGGGGGCGAAGGCGCCATGCAGGAGCGAGAAAGTAACAGCGGTGGGCCCATGGACAACAGGTCTTAGGAGCTTAAGTGCTCTGATACCATGTTAGAAACCTAAGTTGACTTAGGACTTGGGTTGAGGGTAGAACGAGAGTTACGAGAGGAAGGGGTCGAGAGATTAGCCAAAAGAGGTTGTTCACTATAGAGCGAGCAGTACAAATAGGCAAGCATGAGAGTGCACCACCAAACAAGAACATAGAGCTACACTAGGTCTACACTACAGGCAGTTATAGTAATGTATACAAGTACATTCTGACATCCATGTCACAGTACATGAGCAGCCGGAAAACCATGGAGATTAACCCCCATAACAGCGTTATCAAGGAGCTCAAGAGGCGGATCGAGGCGGATAAAACGGACAAGACTGTCCGGGACTTGGTGTTCCTGCTGTTTGAAACGGCCCTGCTGACCTCGGGGTTTTCTCTGGATGAGCCGCAGGCGCTTGCGGGACGGGTGCATAGGATGATTAGCCTTGGATTGAGCATTGATGAGAATGTGGAGGAGGTTGGGGAGGAGGAGGCAGGAGGGGTGGAGGAAGAGAGCAAGATGGAGGTGGATTAGGCTTAGTGGAACATGCGGGGAAAGTTGTTGGATGGGTTGGGTGATTAGTCAATTACTGAAATACTTGGTGATGGCTATGGGTTGATAGTTGGGTGTTGGTGATTGGTTGGGATTCTAGAGGATGTCGTAGGAGGTAACTGTCAGAGGTCCACTGGTGATCCCCGATTGATCCTAGGGAAGGGTTACAGGCATGTTGGCCTGGAGGGTTATGGGCGCACTGACCCGCTACTTAACTTGCCATTTCATCCCAGTGGTTAGTGGCTGGGATCCTGATAGTAAATAGCTTGAAGGTTTGTGGGATGGTGTGTGTATAGAGCAAGTGTGTATAAACGGATGTCTGCATGTATCAGTGAATGGATGATGAGCAGCTTTGTGTACGCGAGCCAAGATGCTGTGCAACTGCATTTCAGCTCAGATATGAAGGATGGCGACATCAGGGACAGAGTAGGTAGCTCAGATATGAATCATCAATGATGGAAGTAATGCCTAAGGGCAGTAATAAGTACCCACATAAGAATGATACACAAGGTCATTTCAAGATTCCAGTAGAGTGCATGACTACCAATCTACTTTGTATATGACTTCTCCAGCTGCTACCATAGCTAAGACCCGGCTTGAGCTGCTAATACCGGTAAGAGGTTTCCAAGATTCACATAAGAAATGGCCGAAGGTGCTGTTCAAAAGACACCTTGCACATACAAGGGTATTTGTACTGGGCTTGATGGGTGTTTTCAGAAGAAAGGAGGGAGCATGATCCACCGCCGAGGGTACTTGGGACGGCCCTCCTTGCCGTCAAAGAGCTGAATGGGTTAGAAAAGAGAACCATACACAAGGCAAGAAAGAAGAGACTTTTGAGTCGACTCGAAGTCCACCGCTGAGGGTATGTGGACGACCCTCCTTGCCGTCAAAGAGCTGAGCACATTAGGGAGGAATGAAGGGAACCCACACAAGGGAGAGACAATGGAGATGAGCAGAGAAATCTCAGGCGACTGGAATCAGGAATCAAGCAGACGATTGCAGTGTACAGGAATTTACAGAACAGAATACCGTTCACAGGATTTTGAATGGCGCTGAATAAAAAACGATTGCTTCTGACAAGGGAGAAGTGAAGAGAGGGCTGCATGTCAGGGACATAAAAGGGTTGGCTTCACTCTGACCAGCAGGTGGTACCCGTGGCAGACTCAGGACAAAGCATTGCACTGTCAATGCATCATCCATGCAGCCCTCAAAACCCATGCAGCCATCCCTGCAGCCCTTACCTGTAATCCAGCTTCCCCTATCAAACCATTAAGCCATCCCATACAGCCTCACAACCAGCTCCCCTATCGACCACTACAACATCACATAAAAGCGCTAAGATGGTGCACAATCTAAGACTTACACACGTGCAAAGCGCACTAGCTGTCCAAACAGCTGTTCCAACCGTCGAAAGAATAAGCGCAGTCTCAGGTAAACATTGACAATCCAAACAGCCCCCAGACGACTTTTGAGACGTCTCACAAGTAAACATCGACTATCCAAACAGCCCCCAGCAGCCCATACCACAACTTCATAGACACTGCATGCCAGTGACATTAGAAAGTTAGCTTCGCTCCGACCAACAGGTGTTACCCGTGGCAGGCTCAGTACAAAGCAATGAATTATCTGACATCATCCATGCAGGACCCCGACCCCATGCAGCCCTGAAAGAATTTACCTACCAGTTCCCCTCCTTTTACATGGGACAGGAAAGACCTCCCCACCCAAGCCCACTATATTATCTCAGAAAAATGGAAACCAAAATCGATAAAAGCACCTCCCCTGGAGCCTAGATAATTGGCAGCAGAAGACCTCTTTATGCAGGCACATACGACACACTCAAAGGCCCCCAATCGCTGTCGCACCACAGACTGCATGTCAGTGACATTGAGAGGTTGGCTTCACTCTGGCCAACAGGTGGTACCCGTGGCAGATTCAGGACAAAGCATTGCATTGTCTGACATCATTCATGCAGCCCTGACAGAGTTCACCTGCCGGTCTCCCCCTTACAGAAAGAAAACCCGCCCGAGAGGGCGCGCATAACTTTTGAACGTTGAACAATTGCATGGGCAGAGCATTTATCACCCAAATAATAAGGAAAGCATTCAAAGCTCCCAGTCTATTCCCCACACCCAGGGACTGCATGTCAGGGACATTAATAAGATGGCTTCACTCTGACCAACAGGTGTTACCCGTGGCAGATTCAGGACAAAGCATTGCATTCATCCATGCAGTCTATCCCTGGACTGTGTTTTAGAGTCGACTCAAAGCTGTGCCTGCCCAATCTCTGCCCTAGACCCGTAAATGAATCAAGCCCTTTCCGTTTCCTGCCCAGTCACCAATCGCAACCCGTGAGTGCAAGAAGCCTATCCGGTTACCAAGAGTCCGCATGCTGAAAAAAAGAAACGAGTCAAGGAGGCGACTGTGCTACAGCCGCTCACTCCATCTGCTGAAGGAAGAACGGCACTGTGCTACATCCCCACCATGCAACACTAGGGTAAAGAGCATCTTTAACAAGTGCATGTCAGCAACAACAGATGTGATGACTTCATGCCACCCGGGAGAAAACTCCAGAGCGACGGTTGAGGTCAAAGCATTGCGTTTGTCTGACATCATCCATGCACACTCGCCCGTCCCGTTAGCCCGTTCCGGCTTGGCTCAGCTGATAGAAGGGTGTGTCTGCTATGGCTTGATTAAAAGCAACGCAGTTAGTCGAAAAGGGTGGATGCGGGACTGCAGGAAACGGGAGCGAAGGTCCTTTGCCATGCTCTCCCACTATCTCCCTCCGCCCCCCCGATTCTCGCACTACGAGGACGAAAGGGGCGAGGACAAAAGGGTACGGGCCTTCAAGAGGAGCTCGACGACAGGCTTGATGATATCGGGGATTCGGGAACGCCGTTTCACTGAACGAGGATTCCCACCTTCCTGTGGCATTCAAGCTTAGCGCGGTCTTAAGAGGCCAGACGAGCAATCGCTTGCAGTGCGCGTGCTTGGCAAAGGCCCTAAACCCGGAACCCTGATGTCGACTCAGCAATGTGATTGCTTATGAAGGGAGAGGAGGTCGCGGAGAAGCGGAGCGGCGGTGGGAAAGGTGGAGGGAAAGTGGTGGCGGGAATTATGGATAGAGAGAGAGAGAGAGATGTCTGCTCTCACCTTGACGAGGCTCTGGTGCTCGGCGAGGTCTCCCACAGGCATCTGCATGGTTCCTTCTGAGACGCCTCAAAAGTCATCCCTCTACCCGCAAGGGTAGGTCCCTACACTCACCCTGACGAAGCGTTTGTGCTTGGCGAGGGTCCATTCAGCCCGGCGGGGTGGCTTAACGAGTTGACTCGAATTCAAACGTCTGCTCTCACCTTGACGAGGCGCTTGTGCTTGGCGAGCGTCCACTCGGCCATCTGTATTGTTGCTTTGAGGCATCTTCAAAATCGTCTCTCTACCCACAAAGGGTAAAGCTGGATTTTCGCCTCACCTTCACAAGGCGCTTGTGCTTGGCGAGAGCCCACTCGGCCATCTGCATGGCGCCGGCGAGCATGAAGAGGTAGCCGGCGACGGACTGCGTGGCGATGTTGAATCCCAACCACGCCGTGATCTCCGTCGTGTAGTTGGCGCACGTGATGAAGTTGAACAGGAAGCCCGACGGGATCTGGTAACCCGAGCTCGAGCCGGACCTGCAGAGCGGATGAAAGCAGGAGAGTGAGAAGAGGTTTTGAGACGTCTCAAACCTCGGACTGCGTGGCGATGTTAAAGCCCAGCCACGCGGTGATCTCCGTCGTGTAGTTGGCGCACGTGATGAAGTTGAACAGGAAGCCCGACGGGATCTGGTACCCCGAGCTCGAACCGGACCTGCAGAGCGGATATATGCAAGAGAAGTACAAGAGGGGAAAAGGGGGGAAGAGGGAATGGGAATGTTCACGCTGTTTCCCGGTTCGAACGACTCTAGTGACTCTATGCGATCAGAAAAGAAAGAGCCTTACAGAGAATGGAAATTCCGCACGTTGTGACAATCCACTCAGAAGTGACTTGTACCCACCTCAAGTTCCTCAAAATGATGTGACAGTAGAGGTTCGAGAGCTGGTTGACTATAGCGATGCCGAATCCGATCGCCATCTGGGTCTCGCTGACAGGCGTGTACATCGGGTGGTTCACGAAGAACGACACGAACGCTGCGAAAGACCAGTAGTAACCGCAGTTACGGAACAGGTTCTGAAGCGGCATCGTGCCGTGGCTGAACCGGTGGACGAAAAACGTCTCGAGAATGCGCTTCGTGTAGTGGAACGTCCAGTAGATGAGTGCGTAGGTCTGGACATCTTTGAGTTTCTGCAGGAAGACATGGCGGTACGAGAAAAGGAATGGAGAATCTGTCAGGAAAAAGCACAAGATTCCCGCTAATGTGAGAATTGCGGGATCCGCGAATTCGGGAGGCGAATACAGAGCGAAAGTGCAAGAAATCGGAAATGTGCTGGAGATTGGGCGGAAACGCTTACCCTGTTGGCACCGTCCACATAGAACACTTGCGGAAAGAAGTAAAAGAGCGAGTAGAGGACCAGAGGGCCGAAGTACTCCCAGAAGAAGACCGTCTTAAAGCCGATCTGAGGGCCGAGGTCCTTAAAGACCACGTCCAATGTGGTTCCTGTGGAGTATTCCGCGAGCCTCTTTTTGGCGTCCAGAACGACGGGCTTGGCTCCTGATGCTGGTGCTGGGAGAGTGAATCTCTGCCTTGCAGGGTACCATTTTTTATCTGCATGAAGGGGTCACCCCGCAGATAAGTGAAAAGTTAGAATACATTATTATAAGGGGTACGGCTTGTCATGGTCTGTAAAGGGCTGCGACTTACTCGTTTTGTGAAGGGCTTTCTGGAGATCTGTTACGGAGGCCTGCACAGAGACGACACGGATAGTAACCAGTTAAGATTTTACGGCATTTACACGACTGGAGAAAGGGAACAAGAGAGTGTTTGTGGGGATCAGAGGGCCTGCGGAAATGCATTACGCGAGCTGCTTGATTATCTGGATCAATTCTTTTGAGAAAAAACCAGGCTGACAGATGCTTGAGTAAGCGTTAAACGCAATGTGGAAGGTACCTCATCGGACAGCTGGAGGCCGCCTTTGACGATCTCTTTTCCAGATCGCGAAAATACGTTGACCTTCATGCTGCGGGGTGCCGATCTACCGTGTCGGAACGATACTAAGTAGACCCTTCGTGCACTCCTCGGAGTACGGCACAGAAATGCGTGGACCCTGAAAAAGGCCGACACACCTAAGCACAGGATGCGATGGCTGGAAACTATAATAATCGTTAGAAGAGATTCAAATAGCTCTGGGAAAACAAGTTGAGGAATCTGGAGGGAGATCAGAACAGAATGTGATAGCGAGCGTTTGAAAGAGATCGAGAAAGGTGACGAAGGATAAGGAGGATCGAGAGAATTATGGTCCTGGTTGGTGTTGAGGTGGTGTGATGTGGTTTTTGGTGTGTTCAGCAGCGCGGCATTTTCGAGGTGAGATCGCCTTGCATTTCCGTGATTGGAAGCTGCTCCTTTTGGCGCCAAAATGGGCTGACAGGTTCCGATATCATATTCTCGATAGTGACGAGAGTGCTGAAAATGGATACGTCATCACAGAATTGAGATAGGTACACAGCTTTTCATTTCCATATGTGTGCTATTGTGGTAGCATCACTATTCCCATGCAGGGTGATCTTCAGTTGAGTTTCTAGGGGGCCTTGGTTTCCAGTCTGGCACTTCATCCCAGAAGAAATTGTAGTAAATATGGCCTGAACATAAATCAAGGCAAGAGAATTCGCAAATATGACAGCCACCAAAACCTTGTGAGAAAGACGTTACATTAAATACCAACCAAAAGGAAGTAACAGACATTAAGACAACGACCTTCTTAGAGTGGATAGAAAAGAGTTCCAAATGATGTACTCTAATATTACCTGGATGTGCATGCACGCAGCACCAGATGCCTGTGTAATGCCGTAATCTCCATCTGAATTTCTTCTCAAGCTCCTGCTCAGATCAAAATTGGAGGGTATGGTAGTGCACCCGAAGGTCATAAGCTGCTTCGATTTCTTTCATATCCCACTCTTGCACTATCAATCAGTCCATCTTATCACACTGTTTTTCCCAACTCCCCCATGTCATTCCAGCAAAACTCGCCTTGTCATCCCATCCGCCAAACACATCGTGCAGAGATCTGAACTCGATCCACTTCACATCTGAAAACTGCCTCCCTAAACTGGAACCCTTGAACCCCCCTTCTCCCTCCCCCTCACCCCCCCCCCCCTCCCCCTCCCTTCCCCATGCCATTCCACCAGCACTCACCTTGTCATCCCATCCACCAAACACATCATGTAGAGAACTGAACTCGATCCACTTCACACCTGAAAACCGCGATAATGCCTCCCTTAACTGGAACGCAAGAAAGGAGGGATCAGGCCACAGTCACAGGATCAGGAAGGGGAGAAAAGCAGGAAATGATATTAAGGGGAGAAAAGCAGGAAATGATATTAAGGGGAGAAAAGCAGGAAATGATATTAAGGGGAGAGAAACAAGGAATGATATCGGCATGATACAGCAAGGGGAAGGGAAAGAGCTGGGATGGCCAAGACAAAGGGCCTTAAAAAGCAGCAGGGGCTAGAGTGACAGGTAACAAACAAATAAAATTAACAATTTATGTGTGCAATGTGGCATCTAACAGTTCATTGCACGCACCTGCTTCTCTCGCACGCCTCTCCTCAGCACCAGATCGAGTGTGTGAGCTCTGGGAAGATCCTGAGCGTCCGTTTCCGTGGGGCAATCGGGAGCAGTGTCGTTGCATATGCGCACAGAGAGCTTGGAGGCTCGGAGCTGGGGACAGGAAGGGTCGGGAGGAGACACGCAGAGAGTTTCAGTGGGGCAGTCATGAGGGCAGAGACGAGGGCAATAAGGAGAAGAGGCGGAGGAGAGGGTATGGAGGGTGGGCTGGCACTTGGCAGAAAAACATTTCAGCAGGCATCTTTAGGGCAGTAAAAAAGACAGTGGAAAGGGCACTAGAAGGGGCTGTCGAAAGGGCAGTCGAAAGGGCAGTCGAAGGGGCATTTGAAAAGGGCATTTGAAAAGGCGGCTGAAAGAACAGTTGAAGGCGTAGTCAAGAAGAAAGCTGAAAGGGCAGTGGGAAGGGCAGCTGGGAGAGGTACTAGTGCAGAGGAGCATACAGGGATTCAAGGCTTGCAGCTGGGAGGACAGGAATGGACTGGAGAGGAGGTTGTTGGGTGTGCTTGGTTTGGAAAGCTGCTGATATATTTGCTACACCTTACTTTTAAAGCAAGTGTCTGGTACTTTCATCTATTTCGGCTAAAACTTCCACTTGTGTTTACATGTATACTTTTTGCAAGTTTACCTCATTGGAAATGTGAGAAATGCCAAGGGATTTATGAAAAAAAAAAAGTCCACAAGGGGGTCCAGCCAATAAGTCAAATATTAAACAGCTGACCTCTTTAGGGACACGAGGGTTGTCAAGGAAAGAGTACTCCCGAAAGGGTATTGCTGGGCCAAACTCCTCTTCTGGAAGCTTCCCCGGAAGCATCCTGTCCACCTGAAAGGGAGACAGTTAAGGGGTAGAAGGGTGTTGGTGGGGGGAAGTGCATAGTGGAGGTGTGGCATGGTATGGAATGGTATGGAATGGTATGGAATGGTATGGAATGGTATGGAATGGTATGGTATGAGACAGTAGAGATTTCAAAATGGAATGGGGACAGTAAACACTTTAGATTGTTGAGCAGAAGGAGGAGAGTTTAGTTTTGAGACGTCTCAAAAGGAGAGTATAGACAAAGTGAAGTCTGAGGATATTGGACGAGCAAATCACCAAAATGACAGACGATACAGACAGACAAGTGTAGAGAGATTGTACATTGAGGATATGGTCGAGTGGGCAGAGAAATGGCTGTGGCGTTGCAGTGTTATCGAGGATGCCTCTATGGGGGTACCAGATGCGATCAAATCGAGCCCACGTGCTTGGCATGACCTGATGGTGGGGGTTGGATGGATGGAAACACATGCACTGACACATGTGCGCACATATGTCAGAACCGCCCCCAGGTGCCAGATACCAGAGCGATCGAATCGAGCCCACGCACGTGGCATCACCTGATGGTGAGGGGGTGGATGGTATCATTGAACTCATTGACTTGAGTTGACTTTGCTGTTGACTTGCGTTGTCTTGAGCTGAATCACGAGGGCTCGATTGAGGATGAGAGCAATGGCCAGAGCACCCCGATGCTTTTCAGCTGGTTGTTAACCAGGTGGAAGTGCGTTGAGAGGGTGTGATTGCCTTGCAGCCCATTAGCAGCGCCAGACAAACCGTTGACTTGGGTTGACTTGGGTTGAATTGCATTGACTCACAAGGGTTCGGTTGAGGATGAGAGCAATGGCCAGTGCCGTCCTAAGTCCCTTCAGCTGGTAGTTGACCAGGTGGAAGTGCGTTGAGAGAGTGTGATCGCCGCCCGTCAGCAGCTCCTCTGGAATGTCGTTGACGAATGACACGATGCCACCTGGTGGATCGTAGTACTCTGGAAAGTCGTAAAAGGCCATGGCCTCTCGGAAGCGATGGCGCTTACCTGGTGGGGGGGAGGGGGGAGAGTAGAGGGCGGGTATGGGGATTATGGATGGTGGATGTGGAATGGTGGAGGGGGACTGGTGGACGGTGGGGATGATTCTCAGGCACCTCAAAGGTCGTAGTACTCTGGAGGGTCGGAGAAGGCTATGGCCTCTCGGAAGCGGTGGCGCTTGCCTGGTGGGGAGAAGAGGGTGGGGGGTTGTGAGCATGATGAACGGGGGATGGGGAAGGTGGAGAACGGTGGTGAATGGTGGAAATCATTCTGGCCGTGGTACACCAGAGGGTCGTAAAAGGCCATGGCCTCTCGGAAGCGATGGCGCTTGCCTGGTTTGAAAGTGGGGAGATGATGGATGGGGAATGGTGGGGAGTGAAAACATTTTTCAGGGGTTTGAAAGGTCTTTGCACTTTTGAGAATCGTGGCACTCTGGTGGTGTGAAAGGCCACGGCCTCCCGAACGCGGTGGCGCCAGCCTGCTTGGAGGGTGGGGCGTAAATGGAGATGATGGGGGCGGATATGGGGGATGGTGAAGAGTGGGGTTCCTTTGGAGGAGCCTGAAAGGCTGTAGCGTTCAGGCGTTATGAAAGGCCATGGCCTCCCGAAAGCGATGGCTCTTGCCTGGTTGGTGGGGGTGTGGGGGAATGGTGATGCTGGATGGTGGATGATGCGGATATTCTGTGAGCAGAGAAGTCAAATCGTGACGTGACATGAAGGGCATATGGAAACTATCAGCTGAGAAGATTGAGTTGAGTTCCCTTGAACATCTCAAAACGAGAATGCAAACAGCAGTCTATCAAGGCGAATTCCCTCCACAACAAAACTTGAAAAGTAAACTTGATCAAATCAAGCTGAACATGCTTGAACATACCGGGAGTGCCAGCAAACTGGAAAGTGGCGTGCAGAGCATACGGTTCCAGGCCCACCACCTTGTGCAGATGCTGCGGGGAAGATATCAGGTGGAGTACAAGATTTTAGTAGGCAAGGGACGAAGGCTGGACAGCAGGGAGAGAGAGAGGGGAATTTCTGAAGAGCTGAGTACAGTGCATGTAGAGCATACGGTTCCAGGCCCACCACCTTGTGCAGATGCTGCGGGGAAGATATCAGGTGGAGTACAAGATTTTAGTAGGCAAGGGACGAAGGCCGGACAGCAGGGAGAGAGAGAGGGGAATTGCTGAAGAGCTGAGTACAGTGCATGTAGAGCATACGGTTCCAAGCCCACCACCTTGTGCAGATGCTGCGGGGAAGATATCAGGTGGAGTACAAGATTTTAGTAGGCAAGGGACGAAGGCCGGACAGCAGGGAGAGAGAGAGGGGAATTGCTGAAGAGCTGAGTACAGTGCATGTAGAGCATACGGTTCCAAGCCCACCACCTTGTGCAGATGCTGCAGGGAAGAAGAATGGAAGAAACGGGGAAGAGAAATGAAGGGGAAAATGAAGGGAAGACAGGCAGGATTTCCCTTCATTCACGGGTGGCATCAAACGCCCAGAACAGATGGTCGTAGCAGCAGGGTCAACGTCGGGCCCCATGTGCTTGCGCATGAGCTTGTTCAACCCGTTCTGGTCCCACATCTTGGCGTCATGAGACCTTTCACTACTCAGTTCTGGTCCCACATCTTGGCGTCATGGGACCTTTCACTACTCAGTTCTGGTCCCACATCTTGGCATCATGGGACCTTTCACTACTCAGTTCTGGTCCCATATCTTGGCGTCAGTGGTCACTGGCGAGCAGCTCAACACACCTTATTGAAGTAGGTGTGGCCTGAGCAGAAGACAGACACGGGCAGGATACCCAGCTTCAAACTGCCATCGAACGCCCAGAACAGATGGTCGGCAGCAGCGGGGTCAACCTCACTGGCTAGGAGCTGAACGCACCTGAACAAAGAAGATGTGACCCGAGCAGAAGACAGACAAGGGCAGAATGCCCAGCTTCAGACTGCCGTCGAATGCCCAGAACAGGTGGTCGGCAGCAGCAGAATCCACGTCAGTGCTTCTGCATGAGCTCGTTGAACGCGCTCTGGTCCCATATCTTGGCGTCAGAAGCAGGAGCAACTTAACCACACAAGTCCTCTCAAATCAAGGCACACGTGGGTGCATTCTCGCACCTGAACGAAGTAGGTGTGACCCGAGCAGAAGACAGAGACAGGCAGAATGCCCAGCTTCAGACTGCCGTCAAACGCCCAGAACACGTGGTCCCCAGCAGCAGGGTCAACGTCCGGCCCCATGTGCTTCCTCATTCTCTAGTTTAAGAGACAAGAGATAACACACCTGAACAAAGAAGGTGTGGCCCGAGCAGAAAACAGAGACAGGGAGGATCCCCAGCTTCAGAGTGCCATCAAACGCCCAGAACAGGTGGTCGGCAGCAGCAGGGTCAACCTCCGGCCCCATCTGTTTCCGCATGAGCTCATTGAACCCGTTCTGGTCCCATATCTTGGCGTCAGATGCGAGCAGCTCTGCCCATGCGCGTGCCAGGCGTTTGGCCGGGTCTGTGGGGCGGAAGTGCAGAATGCCTATGTTGTACGCGCTCTGTGCTGGGAGTTCGGGGATGGGGAAAAGTACAGGAGAAGGGAGGAGGGGGAGGGGGGGAAGGCAAGAGTAGCGGAGAGGGATGGGGAGGAGAGAGGGAGCAGAGGTTGCTACTTGAAACAGCTGTGTCTGCTTGTTTCCTCATGAGCTCATTAAACCCGTTCTGGTCCCATATCTTGGCGTCAGATGCGAGGAGTTCTGCCCATGCACGTGCAAGGCGTTTGGCCGGGTCGGTGGGCCGGAAATGCAGAATGCCTATGTTGTACGCGCTCTGTGCTGGGGGGATGGGTAAAGGGACCGGAGGGGGGGATTTACAGGGAGAGAGGAGGAGGGGAAGGAGGGAGGGAGTGAGGAGGAGGCAAGGGTAGAGGGAGAGAGAGCAGAGAATGCCGCTTGAAACGGCCGAATCTGATTGCTGGCAAATGATCTCGTTGAACCCGTTCTGGTCCCATATCCTGGCATCACTGGTGAGGAGCTCCGCCCATGTGCGTGCCAGGCGTTTTGCAGGGTCGGTGGGGTGGAAGTGCAGAATGCCTATGTTGTACGCGCTCTGTGCTGGGGGGTGGAGAAGCGAGGGGGAATGTAAGGGTTTCATGGGGAGAGGGGAGTAGGGGGAGGGGGGAGTAGGGGGAGGGGGGAGTAGGGGGAGGGGGGAGTAGGGGGAGGGGGGAGTAGGGGGAGGGGGGAGTAGGGGGAGAGGGGAGTAGGGGGAGGGGGGAGTAGGGGGAGGGGGGAGTAGGGGGAGGGGGGAGTAGGGGGAGGGGGGAGGAGGGGGAGGGGGGAGGAGGGGGAGGGGGGAGTAGGCACAGGTAGAGCAGGGGGATGCGGAGGAGAGAGGGAGAGAGAGGATGCAGAGTTCCCACTTGAAACAGCCGTTCTGGTCCCATATCTTCGGGTCACTGGTGAAGTGAGCAGCTCTGCCCATGCTCGATCTAGGCGCTTGGCCGGGTCGGTGGGGCGGAAATGCAGAATGCCGATGTTTTACGCGCTCTGTGCTGGGGGGTTGGAGAGGGGGAAATAGGGGGGGGGGGGGCGGAAGGGAGGGGAGAGGACGCATAGGGGAATAGAAGAATAGGAAGACAGAAAGGCCGTTGGCAGGGTCGGTGGGGCGGAAGTGCAATACGCCTGTGTTGTACGTGGTCTGTGCTGGAGGGGGGAAACACATAAGGGGAAAGGTCCTGTGATTTTTTCAAAGGAGGGGCGGAAATGCAGAATACTGATGTTGTACACGCTCAGTGTTTTGGGGGAAGAGGAATGAGGCAAGCATGCCTCCCCTCCCCACGCCTCCCCATGCCTCCCCACGCCTCCCCATGCCTCCCCACGCCTCCCCATGCCTCCTCACGCCTCCCCCCCACGCCTGCTCACGCCCGCTCACGCCGGCTCACACCTGCTCACCCCTTTCTCACCTTGCTGCCACTTCTCCAGAGACTCATCATCAACTGAGCGGACTGGGTGGTCGCTGGATGTGAGGACATCTGCACTCACGTCTGCACTCACGTCTGCACTCACGTCTGCTCACACCTTTTCAGACCTCCTCACACTTACTGCCACCTCTTCACGCCTGCTCACTCCTTGTCACACCTGCTCACGCCTACTCACACCCATTCACCCCTCTCTCACCTTGCTACCACTTCTCCAGAGACTCGTCATCAACTGAGCGGACTAGATGGTCACTGGATGTGAGGACGTCTGCTGGCATGCCTGCTCACACCTCCTCACGCCTGCCCACTCCTTGTCACACCTGCTCACGCCTTCTCACACCTATTCACCGCTCTCTCACCTTGCTGCCATTTCTCCAGGGACTCGTCATCAACTGAGCGGACTAGGTGGTCGCTGGATGTGAGGACGTCTGCTGTTGGGAAGCGAGCGATGAAGGGCAGAGGGTTCTGCCACAGGAGGAGGGGAAGAGAGGGGAGGATATGGGGCAAGTCAGCAAGGGCTCTAAGGACAGGGTGGTTGCCGGATGAGCAAATGAGCAGCTCCACGCCCATGGAGATAAAGAAGCTCGTTGAACTCAGTGCCTAACAACTCACTCAGGGCACTTGCAGCCAGCACAGCACGCCCTCACTGGACAGCCTACCCTGAGCCACATGGAGAGATGTCACAGATGACCAGCTCCACGCCCATGGAAAGGAACACGTTGACCACCCAGTCAGTACCACATAAGTACCCGTTGCTCTTGCATCCAGCCTACACTTAGCCACACCGTGTCGGTGTTTCATATGAGCAGCTCCACCCACCCACCACCCACCCAATGCCTTATCAATACTCGCTTCTCTAGTGCTCAGAGCATAGTATACCCTGAGCCAAACAGTGTCGGTGTCACAGATGAGCAGTTCAACGCTCATGGAGAAGAACACGTTGACCAGAGTGACCTTCTCGCGCCCCATGGCATGGCACACCGGCGTGCCCCACCCGTGCTACCCTCCACTCCCCACTACCTTATTGATACTTATCTGAAAACATACCCTGAGCCAAACAGTGTCAGTGTCACAGATAAGAAGTTCCACCCCCATCGATAAGAACACGTTCACCAGAGTCACTTTCTCCCGCCCCATGGCATGGAACACTGGCGTGCCCCACCCGCTGTCCTCGGGGCTCATGCCACTCTCCAGGTCAAAGACCGGAACTCCCTCCTGGTAGAGTGCGGTGAGAATCACATTGTCCATGGCACCTGGGATGGGAAGGGTAGCAGGGAACATGCACACACAGGCTGTTGTATACACTGGTGTGCCCCACTCGCTGTCCTCTGGGATCATGCCGCTCTCCAGGTCGAACACCAGCACACCCTCCTGGTAGAGTGCTGCCAGGATAGTAGGATCCATGGCGCCTGGGGGGAAGGGAAGGAGGAAGGGGGCACGCTGACTGACACAGGCTGTTGCATACATGCATACCCCACCCAGCGCATGCTGTCCTCTGGGCTCATGCCACTTTCCAGGTCAAACACAGGCACGCCCTCAGAGTAGAGTGCTTCCAGAATGGTAGGGTCCATGGCGCCTGGGATGGGAAGGGAAGGGTAGCACGGGACACACACACACACACACACACACACACACACACGCACACATACACACACACACACACACACACGCACACGCACACACACACGCACACACACACACAAATTCTGTTGCATGCAAGCCTGTCCCACCCGCTGTCTTCCGGGCTCATGCCGCTCTCCAGGTCGAACACTGGCACGCCCTCTTGGTAGAGCGGAGTGAGAATTACATTGTCCATGGCACCTGGGGCAAAGCAAGGGAAGCAGGGGGCATACACACACGGAACAGTCTGTTGCATTGCATACACGCGTGCCCCACTCGCTGTCCTCTGGGCTCATGCCGCTCTCCAGGTCAAACACAGGCACGCCCTCTTGGTACAGTGCTGTGAGAATTACGTTGCCCACGGCACCTGGGATTTAAAACAGAGAGATGGAGAGGGAAATTAACACCGGTGTGCCCCACCCGCTGTCCTCCTCTGGGCTCATGGCGCTCTCCAGGTCAAACACAGGCACGCCCTCGCGATAGAGCGCTTTCAGAACAGTAGGGTCCATAGCGTCTGGGGTAGGGAAGAGGAGCAGGAGAGAGAAACACACATGCTGTGGCATCATACACGTGTGCTCATGCCACTCATGGCGCTCTCCAAGTCGAACACAGGCACACCTTCATGGTAGAGTGCTTCCAGGATCACTGGGTCCATGGCACCTGGGGAAGGGAAGAGAAGGAGAGGACACACACAGGCTGATGCATGCACGCGTGCCCCACCCGCTTTCTACTGGACTCATGCCGCTCTGCAAATCCCTCCCACCCGTAAGGATGTTGGTAGCCCCCAATTCCGTGAGGTGCTTCACCTAGTTAAGCACAAAAAAAAACGCATGGTTGGCGAAAGTCACCACCACCACCACAGTCCACTCCTCCATTTGAGACGCCTCAGAACCCCATGAACTCGAGACTGCATGACTGGCGAAAATCAGCGCCCCGCCTTTTCCTCACCTATAAGAATGTTGTTGACTCCCAGCTCTGTGAGGTGCTTCACCCAGTTGAGAACAAAATCCAAAAACGCATGGTTGGCGAAAGTCACCACCACCACGTTCCTCTCCTGCTTTTTTAAGTCGCCTCAAGGCCCATGTTTTCCAAGACTGCATGATTGGCGAAAGCCAGCATCACATCTTCTTCTCACCTATGAGAATGTTGGTAACCCCCAGCTCCGTGAGATGCTTCACCCAGTTGAGCACGAAATCCAAAAACGCATGGTTGGCGAAAGTCACCACCACCACATTTTTTTCCGCCCTGAATTCCACCATCTCCCTCCGCAAAGCAAACTCCTCCTTTCCAGGAACCTTCCCGCCAGGTGGCGGTTTCTCCCAGATGGGTCGCTTCAGCTCCGGAATCAACGGTTTTCCCTCGTGGATGATTGGCCGGACACCCCGAGCGAAAGTTTCGCCTGCACGGCCATTGCTGGTTGTATTAGTCTCCCCTTCATCCCCAGCGGATTTTATCGCATCGTCAGAAGCAGCAGCAAGAGCAGCAGATGCGTCGTTTACGATCCCCTTCCTGCTACTGCTGAAATTTCCACCTCCATCAGTATCCGCGTTGTTCTTGCTCAGGGCTTTGCTGCTCCCTCCCAGATTTTGCGCTGCCAGGAAATTGTTCCTCTCTCCATCCTCCTCCCTCTGAGCCCCTCCGCCCTCCTCTCCTGTTCCCATGTGAGGCTGCGCCTCAGCGTTCCCTTTTCCTGCTTCTTTCCCTGATGCTGCTGCTGATGGTTCTGAAGATCCTGATGCTGCTGCCGACGATTCGGATGCTGGATTGCTGCGAAACGGCCACAGCTTGTTAGAAGCAAAGACCGCATTGCTGCCGCTCCTTGCAGCTGGTGTCGATTCTGGTGTATGAAAAGAAGACATGCAATAGCTCTTTTAGATGAGATGAAGGGGAGGTACGAGATCCATTGGCAGAACTGAAAATTAAGACAAATCATCAGGTGGTCGAAAGAACAGGAAATGTCGCCGCCTGCTCGTGTTTCTATATGCGACATGGAAATCCGACACACGGACAAGTCACTGCAACAACAAACTAACTAACAACGCGCAGGTATTGACAGAACTATTCAGGACATAGCTTAAACTGGAAGGATGCACATTCTATACCTTGCTCGTCCACATTCGTTGCTTCCTCGACCTGCGACTCGAGGAGGTCATTCCACTGGCTTTCCAAGCTCCAGTATATCGGCCGGCCGAGAGTGTAACCGACTATCATGACGGCTAGCAGGCCGGCGACGCCAACGACTCTGCGAAGCCGCGACATCGCGGATGAGGAACCTGCCGCGAAAGGACCAGCTAGTAGCTATAATAACGAGACGGCTCTAGAATTAAAATACCATTTGGTCTACTAAATGGACCTACTCGCCAGGGATCGGCACAGAATGTGCTTCAAGAGATCGGCAGAAGTCCGCGCAAGCAGGAATGAAATGCAGAACTGGACCTTGGGATTGCTGACCACTGAAGGTGATCAGACAGTGATCAGACAGTGACCGATTCGGCAGTTGGGGAGGCGGCAGAGGCTGATCTGTACGCGCTATTGTTATAGACAAATAATACAATAGCATACATGAACAGCAAGTACATAACATCACAATCACAATACCCATGCTTTATCAGCTCAAACCTTTCCCTTCACCTCTTGCCTAGCCACCACCATTCTCAACACATCGCCAGGACTCAGCCTCGAGCCGTTCGCATTTGCCTGACACTCCTGCAATTGCCGAGCCAATTCCGACCAAGACAGAGTCCTCAGGGGACCCGGGGGAGGGGAATCATCATCATCAACAATTCCCTGGCTCCACTGCTGCAAAAGCGTCAAGTCTACACCATCATACCCTTTATTAGCGGATTGTTCTTTCGGCGGATCTACACCCTGCAAATGGTAGCTCAACCAAAAGTCCTCCCCCTCAGTCACGCTCCCCAAATTCTTCTCCTTCTGTCCCACCCGCTCACCAGTTCCACCCATTATAACGCTTCCCTTCTGTAGCGGCATTGCACTGTAGGGAATCGCACTATAAGGGATCGCACTGTACGGGAGGCTGTAGCTCAGCTGTAGCCGCGGAGCCGGCGAATCAGACGCGTCCGTCCAAACCGACGGGGACTTGGGGAAGAAAAATGAACCAGGGCTGGCAGCTGCACTGTAGCTGCTGCCGCTGCTGGTTACCATGCTCGGCTGCTCTGATTGGCCGCTGATAGAAGGGGGAAAGAGAGCTGATTGGAGGAAGGCATCGGAGGGAACACTGTGGGTTCTCTCCAGGGGGAGGGGTGCAGGGTGTGACTGTAAAGAAGAGTGTGATTGAATCGAGTGAGTGTGTGACAAGGAGCGAGGGGGGAACGGGTGGTGGTGGTGCTGCTGCTGGGAGTGAAGCTCCTTTTGGTCTATCTGACTTCCTCCTCCTCCTCCTCCTCCCCCTGCTGCTCCTCCTCCCCCCATGGAGTGCCACCATGCTGAGTGGTGTGTGAGAGGATGGAACACCTGTTGCTGCTGCTGCTGCTTCCCCTGCTGGCACTGCTGCTGTTGCTGCTGCTGCTGCTGGTGCCACTGCTGTAGACGTGATAGCTGCTGCTGCTGCTGCTGCAGTTGCTGCTGCTGCTTCTCCAAGTGCGAGAGCCACTGCTGCTGCTGCTGCTGCTGATTGGAAACCCCTTCTGCACCAGCAGGTAGCCCATGCTTCTGTCTAAGCTCCAGGTACCTAGCCCTCACATCCGCCCCATGCCCACCCGACTTAGACACATTACACACACCATACTGAGCTCTCATGTCCGCCCCATGCCCACCCGACTTAGACACATTACACACACCATACTGAGCTCTCATGTCCGCCCCATGCTCACCAGACTTAGACATAATCCCATACTGCGCCCTCAGATCCGCCCCATAGCCCGCGGATTTGGATACACTGGATCGGGACCCCACCGTGTGCGACCGAGGAAGCTTCCAGGAATGGATGGTGGCCGCCCCGAGCTCGGGATGAGCCCATCCGCCCTCTTTGCCTTTCCCATCCCTTCCACCTCCACCTTTATGGGCTGAACATCCATCTCCACACTCCCTTACGAAAGAATCCCCTCCTCCGCACCTCCCAAGGCCTGCTGCAGTCACCACACACGTGTTCCCTCTTCTCGCATCCCCGTGTATCCACCCTGCCTCCCACACTCCCCCGTCATTGCTCCTCTTTCCCGCTCCGGCCCTCCTCTCACCCGTTTCTTCTTCTTCTTCAGCAGTGGCCAGGGCGTGAAGTGACAGCGCACTCGCCGCTCGCTTGTGGGCTGCAGCAGCAGGACCAGCAGGACCAGCAGGACCAGCAGGACCAGCAGGGCTGGCCCCAGAAGCAGGATTATTACGACCGCCAGCGGGAGCGGCAGCAGCAGCGGGATTGGTACGAACAGCAACAGGAGTAGAAGCAGCAGAAGCCCGGCCACCATCAGCAGTACCAGAAGGGGAGCTTGCAGCAGGTAAGGTAGAGGCAGCAGGGGAGGTGCCAGCATGCCAGCCCACGCCCCACCCGCCCGACCCCTGCCGCCACAGCTGCTGCAGAGCCGATGCCAGCCGACTGCTCTCACTCGACTCGTGCCGCCTCAACCGCCCCCTCTCCGCACCCCCTCCCCTCTCCCCACCCGCTCCTCCCCTCCCTTCCCCTCGGCCCCTCTCTCCACCCACTCCTCCCCTCTCCCCGCAGCTTCTACCCCTTTCTGATTCCCTGCCGCAGCCTTCGTGCAGGTCAGGAAACGGCAGGTTAGAAAACGGCAGGTTAGGAAACGGCAGGTTAGGAAACGGCAGGTTAGGGGATTGCAGATTCTCTGCAGTGGGAGACTGCTGGGTTTTGAAGATCCTGGGCCTTGATTTGGGCAGTCCCCCTCTCTTCCACTCGTGCAAGGTGCCTCTTGGGGACTTCTCCTCCCGCTGCCAGTGCGAGAGGGTTGGCCCTCTGGGCGTGTTGTGAGTGCTCACGCTTTGCCTCATTCGAGTTGACCGCGTTGACTGAATTGATTGAATTGACTGAGTTGACTGCAGAGACAGCATGGATTGGATTGACTGCGTTGACTGTGTTGACTGGATTGTCTGGGTTGACTCGGTTGACCGGGTTGACTCGCAGGCTGTGGATCCCACTGACGCGTGCCGCTCGAATCGCGGCGGCCGGACGGCGGCGGGCGGCGGCCGCTTTCTGGAAGCTTCCCTTCTGGGAGTGCTGACGCACGAACCGCCCGTGCACCCGGTTGTAGCTAAGGAATCCACATCGGATTCAGCATCGGATCCCGCTTCAAAAGCACTGCTGGTGAAGCCATAGAAATTATCACCATCATCATCATGACAATCATAATCATTGTTGTTGTTGTTATCCTCGTTATCCCCGTTGTCGTCGTTATCCTCGTTGTCTGAAGCGTCGCTTGTGATGTCGAGAGTGAGAGTGCCCTTCACCATGTGCATGCCTCTCCACCGGTTCGGGTGTTGCTGTCTCGGGTGCTGCTGGTTCGACCTTTGCTGCTGCTGATTCTGCCTGGCACCATCCTTAGCTGACTTATCCAATGGCAGATTCACACCTGGAGAATCCAGCAGGCCTTCATCTGCTCCCCCTGGGTCTTCCTCCGCCTGTGCGTCTCTCCCTCCCCCCACCAGCCCGTCATGCGCAGGGCTGGGGCTTGATGATGCTGTCGTTCCGCCTACTTGAATTCCGCGCCCCGCGGGTTCGTTAGCTGCTCGCGCGCCCCGCTGCTTCGCGCTCTGCTGCTTCGCGCGCTGCACTTCCGCACCCTCCGTTTCCGCGCTCTCCCCTTCCGCGATCTCTCCTTCCGTCCTCTGAGCTTCCGCATTCTGAGATTCTAGCGCGCCCTGCTCCGCAAGAGCCGGTTTAGAGAGGTAATACGTCCCTCCCGGGTGTAGCACCTTATCCCGCGGCAGCACGGCGCGCTTCGACGACATGGATCCCACGGAATACCCGGGATGCTCGCGCATGACGTCAGCCACCGTCAGCTGCCGCGCCGAAGCCCTTCCGCCGCCTCCGCGGGGCCTGCGCAGAACCCGACTCTGCGCGTGATGGCGCGCGGAACGCGAGAGGTGCGCCGAGTCAAGGACGCGCGGAAGCCCGGCGATGACCGGCGCGGGCACGTCTCCGCCGCTGACGGACGTTTTTCCGCCGCGGAGATCCCCGCCGGAGGAGGAATGCGCGGGCGTATTTCCGCCGAAGAGGTCTCCGCTGGAAGCGGAATGCGCGGTAGTCTTTCCGCCAGGCGCATACATCTTCATAGAGCCGTCGGGGAGGAGAAGCAGCACGAGGCGCGGCCCGAAGATGCGCTTCCATCGCTGCAGGCGTTCCATTAGCGGGCGCGACGGGCTGAGGAAAGGTACCGGCTGCGCGGATGGAGGCGCGGCGGGACACGCGGTGGGATTGGCGGCGGGATCGGAGGCGGGACGGGCGGCGGGATGTGTAGCAGCCGTGGTAGAAGGCTGCAAAGTCGAATCCACGCGAATTGGTTTCATTCTGAGGGCTCCGCTCGGCGACCGAGCGTAGAAAAGCGGGATACGATTGAGAATTACCAGTGGCGGATTGAATTCTTCCGTATACTTTCCTTCCTTTCCTTTTCTTTCTACCGGTACGCAGCGAATCCGAGACGGAGAGGTCTACAGACAGCGGCTGTGGTTTTTGGAGCGGACTAAGCTTATTATGGCGAAATTAAAATGAGGAGACGGACGGGTTTCTCTGGATTGGCCTATGCTCCATCGTGTAGCGACGGGCACCGGAACGCACCCGCTTGATCTGCTGCTGGTGGAACGGAGAGGAGAGGTTTGTAACGACCTCAAACACGATCCTTTCACACGGCGCTCGGTAAGCTGTTGCTGTTGTCCCCCTTGACTCGAAATAAATGCGAGAAGAGGAGAGGAGCTTTATAAACAGTAAAGGTATGCTGTAAGTCACGAGGCGGTCCGGGGCCTGAAAATAAGGTGCTAGCGCCTCTGAGTCGACCTGGATGTCGGTCGTCTGGGATCGCTAAACGCGAATAAGGTCGGTCGTGTGTTCGTCCGTCAGCGACGGTCGAATCGCCTATTATAAGGAGTAACGTCCGGTCGCGAGACATGGTGTGATTGGATGGACGACTTCGCGGGTAAGTGCTTACGGTCACAAGAGAGGGATGCTGCTGCTGCTGCATCCGTGGCTTAGGCTTTCTTAGAGATAACCGCTGCACGCCGAAGCGCAACACCCTTGGAGTTAGTGTTAGCTGCTGTTGAGCGGAGGTTTCCGGTCTGGAAGGAACTAACTGAATGAGCTCCTAGGAATCATCAGCTGGCAGCGGGAATAGTAAAAGCGGGTGAGAACGGAAGTTGTTTTGTTATAACCGAGATTGTATAATGTATTTCGCTGGAAGATTGAGCAGCGTCGTGCATAAAGGATTTGCAAAAGGATCAGGGTGAATAGAGTACAAGAATTGGCATGGTGTATTCTTTTGCTCCCTTGCAAGTCACTGGCTGGAGTCAACCCGAATGACGGGGATATGACTCGTCAAGTGGGGTCATCCACGTCAGTCAAACTCGACGTGTCCCAAGTTTACTGTCCTGCACAACATCTCCCGATGAGCTGGCTCTTGGAGGGAGTGAAAGGCGATGCGCCAGACCATGAACGGCACGTGAGCTGGGCAGATTTGAAACATTTGCCTCAGATGTCATCAACACTTTCTCTCTTTCCATAAGGCACCATCATGTGAGAATTACACAGTCATTACCAGCAGCTGAATTCAAGAATATGATGTATAGAACGAGCAAATCAGAAGAAAGGTTTCAAATCTGCCCACTTCCTGGCACAGTCTCCCTCCTCCTGGCCTGCTTTGGCCCTGTTCGGTAGCACCCTTAAGCGGGGTAAGTGAGCTTCGACGCAGTTTACAAACTCCGGCTTTGCACGTGTGACGGAAGTTTACTCAATCCGACGTGTCTTACTCCGAGTAACTCAGAAGGGGCTAACGATCGCCCCAACACCTTACTCGGAGTACGTCTCGAAGTGGCCATACAGGAAGGTTCATTTACGGGCAAACTGAGTTACGCGGCGGAACTCCACTAACTCTGGCTTGTTGGGAGAGTAAGCCTCGCTTACTCGGAGTTAGCCCGCGAAGGGTAAACCCAACAAAACCGCAAAATTTTCTTCCACCTGCCAACGTTAACCTCCTAAAACACCTTCAAATCTTCCCATTCCTCCTGGCCCTATTGTGAGGGATTCAAGAAATGGTTCTGACTCGAGTCATTTTATGGCCCAGGTTCCCCTTTTTTGAGAAAACATTTTCTTGGTGACGAATGGGGCAGTCTGGGCCGAAAGCAACCGTGATTCGAAGGAAATCGCGCTCACGACCCGCGCAACTTCCCTAAGCCCAGTTTCGGGGGCGTGCCGATCACCCCTGTGAGCTGGGAAATTTACTGAAGCAGGGGGGAAGCACCCAGCGACACGTGCCCACACGTGTGTGCCAAAGCGACAGAAGCTTAAGCTGCTTAAGGTGCTACCGATCAGGGCCTTTGTGTTGCTGTTTGCTTTGTTTGCTGCAAAGTGCTAAGCTCACAAATGGCATTCACATGCTGTTAGGGCTTGTCCGCCTGAGCCGTGTTCTAGGCCTGCAGCAGTTAATCTCGCTGCGATTTTTCTGCTGCGCTGCTGGTCACCTTGCCGTTTCCTCTCGTCAGTGACGGCGACCGTCGCGTTCGCTGCTCACCTCGCGAATCTCGCCAAACAAGCTCGCCTCCCATCGCCATTCGCTCCTCCTTGTCGCGCCGCAGTTCTTTCGCTCACCGTCTCATCCGCTCATGACCGTCGCCATCCTCCATTCGCCGTAACCGCCGTTCCCATATCCAGTTGCATCTTCGCCGCGAACGTATTCTCAATACTTCAGCCGTCGCTCGCCAATCTCGCGCTTAGATTCGCCAATCTCGCGCTTAGATTCGCCAGGAATCCACACGTCGCGACGTGCGTTGCGAAGCCCAGTTTTCACCTAGCCTTCGCTCGACGCATTTCTGTCCTTGTACTTCCGATTCTGTTATTCCGCGCCTGGTGCGTACCGTCCGCGGTGACTGTTAGAAATGGCGGCGCTGCTCCGCGCTGCTGCGCGATGCGCGCAGGAGGGCATAAACATGCGCGGAGCGGAGCGAGTCCCCGCGCGCGCCGGCTGGCTCGTGGACGGCTGGACGAGTGAGGCCCGAGCATTGCTAGTAGGGCGCCTCGGAGGGAGCCGCGAGGTGCATAGCGGGCCGCCTGTTTCCGAGGCGCCTCAGAGACAGAGTCTCCCAACGGTAACGCGCCTCGGAGGGTGCCGCGAGATGCACAGCGGGCAGCCGATAATCATGGCGAAGCGCGGTGCGGACCTGCTGCACGACCCGTGGTACAACAAGGTGTGTGACTGTAAGCGAAGGAGGTGTGCAACAAGGTGTCTGGCTGTAAGCGATGTGCGAGACTGTACGGGAGGGTGGTATTACTAGGTGTGTGGCTGTAAGCGAGGGGGGTACAGTAAGCGAGCGTTTGAAGTTTCTGAGAGGGACCGGCTAGGCTTGAGCTGCTGTCCCGTTTCTCCTATTCCCGAATCCCCTCCAACGCCCCCCGTCCCCCTCTCGCCACCTTCCTGGTCCTATGCTCTTCTTATCCCTTTTCCCACCACACGGCTTTTGAAGCTACCGAGAGGGACCAGCTAGAACTGAGGCGGCTGCTGCCGGCGTTGCTTCCATGCCCCATTTTCCCCCAACGCTCCGCTTCTTCCCCCTCCCACCCCCCTCTCCCTTTTCTTCCTTCCCTCCATTCCAGCACACGGCATTTGAAGCGCCTGAGAGGGACCGGCTGGGGCTGAGGGGGCTGCTGCCGCCGTTGCTTCTACTCCCCAATCCCCCTCAACGCTCCCATTCACCCTCCCACCCCCTCTCCCCTTTGCGTCTTCCTTTACCCCACACCAGCACACGGCGTTCGAAGCGCCTGAGAGGGACCGGCTGGGACTGAGGGGGCTGCAGCCGCCGTTACTCCTATTACCCAGTCCCCCTCAACGCTCCCCTTCCCCTTCCCACCCCCTCTTCCTTTTGCCCCTTCCTTCCTCCCACAACAGCACACGGCATTTGAAGCGCCTGAGAGGGACCGGCTGGGACTGAGGGGGCTGCTGCCGCCAGGGTACCAGACGATGGACGACCAGGTGGCTCAATTCAGTAAGTTGCTCTTCTGTGCTTACAACGAGGCAGGTTATAGCGAGGGAGGGTGGACTTATTTGATTTAGGGGGCTGCTGCCTCCAGGGTACCAAACAATGGACGAGCAGGTGGCGCAATTCAGAAAGTTGTTGTGTACTTTAAACGAGGGTGCTTGTAGCAAGCGAATGTTCGTTAAGTAAAGGGTGCTGCTCCTTGGCTATCTTGCTCTCAACCCCTCCTCTCTCCCCTTGTCCCCCTTCCTGTTCCCCTCCACTCCCGTCTCCCCACCACCAGTGGCGGAATACAGGAAGATGGACCAGAAGCCAGTCATGACTCCGCAGTGCCTCGCAATGCGCTACGTCCCCATTCCCCCCACGTTCCGTCTCCCCCTCCCCCTCACCCCGCCCCCACCAGTGGCGGAGTACAGGAAGATGGACCAGAAGCCCCTTATGCCAGACGACCCGGTTGACCTGCAGAAGTGGCGCATTCTCAACCGCCTCCACGACCGCAACGAGACGCTGTACTACCGGGTGAGAAAGACATTGTACTACCGAGTAGTGTGGCTGGTGTGTGGTGGGGCCTCTGCGCTATCGCCAAGCCGGACGACCCGGTTGACCCGGTTGACCTGCAGAAGTGGCGCATTCTCAACCGCCTTCACGACCGCAACGAGACATTGTACTACCGGGTGAGAAAGAGAGGAGATACGGACGAGTGTTGGTGGGTGTGTGGTGACCCGGTTGACCTGGTTGACCTGCAGAAGTGGCGCATTCTCACCCGCCTCCACGACTGCGACGAGACGCTGTACTATCAGGTATGATGTGACTACGTTACACTGTACCACACTGTACTGTGCCTCGTTGCACTGTACCACACTGTACTGTGCCTCATTGCACTGTACCACACTGTACTGTGCCTCATTGCACTGTACCACACTGTACTGTGCCTCATTGCACTGTACCACACTGTACTGTGCCTCGTTGCACTGTACCACACTGTACTGTGCCTCATTGCACTGTACCACACTGTACTATGCCTCATTGCACTGCACCACACTGTACTGTGCCTCGTTGCACTGTACCACACTGTACTGTGCCTCATTGCACTGTACCACACTGTACTGTGCCTCATTGCACTGTACCACACTGTACTGTGCCTCATTGCACTGTACCACACTGTACTGTGCCTCATTGCACTGTACCACACTGTACTGTGCCTCGTTGCACTGTACCACACTGTACTGTGCCTCATTGCACTGTACCACACTGTACTATGCCTCATTGCACTGCACCACACTGTACTGTGCCTCATTGCACTGTACCACACTGTACTATGCCTCATTGCACTGCACCACACTGTACTGTGCCTCAAATCACTGTACCACACTGTACTATGCCTCATTGCACTGTACCACACTGTACTGTGCCTCATTGCACGATCAAGTGCTAACGCTTCAGCTGTCTGCACCACCGCTATGAGACTCTGTGCCGCCGGCATTCCCTACCTGTTCCTCTCTCCCCTCGAAAGCATACCATCGCGTGGCTCCCGTCTTCTTGATCGCCCCACCTCTCCCTCCACTCTTCTCCCTCCAACCGTCTCCCCTCCCAAACCCCATTCTTCCCCCATCAGGTTCTGATCGACGTCATTCAGGGAATGAGTCGCATTCTTCTCTTCTCCATCCTCCCCTTATGCCTCCTCCTTCCACACCCCACCATGCTTCCTCCCCATCAGGTTCTGATCGACGTCATTCAGGGAATGAGTCGCATTCTTCTCTTCTCCATCCTCCCCTTATGCCTCCTCCTTCCACACCCCACCATGCTTCCTCCCCGTCAGGTTCTGATCGACGTCATTCAGGGAATGAGTCGCATTCTTCTCTTCTCCATCCTCCCCTTATGCCTCCTCCTTCCACACCCCACCATGCTTCCTCCCCATCAGGTTCTGATCGACGTCATTCAGGGAATGAGTCGCATTCTTCTCTTCTCCATCTTCCCCTTATGCCTCCTCCTTCCACACCCCACCATGCTTCCTCCCCATCAGGTTCTGATCGACGTCATTCAGGGAATGAGTCGCATTCTTCTCTTCTCCATCCTCCCCTTATGCCTCCTCCTTCCACACCCCACCATGCTTCCTCCCCATCAGGTTCTGATCGACCACATTCAGGAGATGAGTCGCATTCTCTACGTCCCCACGGTCGGCACCGTGTGTCAGAAGTACAGCAGCCTGTTCCGGCGGCCCCGAGGCATGTATTTCAGTGCAGCTGACAGGGGCGAGATGGCGAGTATGGTGCACAACTGGCCCGCAGACAAGGTGAGTCACTGTGGCTGCATTTATGGGGGACATGAGATTGAGTGTGTCAGAAAAGTGTAGAGTGCAGGAAACATGGAGAAAGGCGCAGGAGACAGGGCCATGGAAACAAAGGGAAAGGGTAAAGGGGAGGGAAGAGGAGTAACGCAGAGGAGGGGACGAAAGGAGGGGACCGGAGAGAGAGGAAAGTCTAGTTACTCTTCTTTCCTCCCCTCTTCTGCGCTACCTCTCTATCCTCCTCTCTACCCTTTCCCCTAGCTTCCATGGCTCTCTCCCCTGCGCCTTTCCCCGTGTTTCCTGCACTCTTCCCCTTCCTCTTCCCCTTCCCCTTCCGCTTCCTCTTCCTCCCACATCCCGGGTATCTTCGACCTGGGGCGAGTGGTTACACCCACTATTGTTGAATCGTCCCTCCCCCAGTCCGCTCCTCTCTCAAGCTCCCCTCTCCTTCAGGTGAATGTGTTAGTCACGAGTCGACGGCAGCAAGGTGCTGGGGTTGGGAGACCTGGGAGTGGTGGTGCGGCTCACTGCTGTCTCTCCTCTCCTCTCCCTGCTCTCCCTTCTCACCGCTCCCCCTTTCGCCTGCTCTCCCCGCCCCTTCAGGTGGATGTGATAGTCATGACGGATGGCAGCAAGGTGCTGGGACTGGGAGACCTGGGAGTGCAAGCCATAGCCATTCCGGTGGGAAAGCTCGACATGTATGTCGCTGCTGCGGGCATTCCTCCCAACAGGGTGAGTGGTGGTGCTGTCGTGAGTAGTGGTGTTATCGTGAGTATTGCTGTTGCCACACTCTGCCTCCCGCACTATAGACTGGGGGCGACCTGGGAGTGCAGGCCATAGCCATCCCGGTGGGAAAGCTCGACATGTATGTCGCTGCTGCGGGCATACCCCCCCAACAGGGTCAGTGTTGGTGCTGTTGTGAGTGGTCGTACTTCTGTGAGTATCGCTGCTGTCGCCACACATACACACCTGCTCCTCCTCTCGCACGGTAGAGTGAGCGACCTGGGAGTGCAGCCCATAGCCATCCCAGTGGGAAAGCTCGACATGTATGTCGCTGCTGCGGGCATCCCTCCTAACAGGGTGAGTTATTACTGACGCCCTTCACTCCCTGCCTAGAGCTGGTGATTAAAGGGCCATAGCCATCCCGGTGGGAAAGCTCGACATTCATTTGCCTGCGGCCAACAAAAGGCGATGTCTGGCTGAAGCCAGACAGTCAAGGCAAACTGGGTGGTATCAGCAGGTGCTGGTGTTGATTCCCAGTAATTTACACTGTCACACCCTCCCCCCCTCTTATCCCTCCATTTTGTGTTCTTTCAGGTACTTCCAGTGATGTTTGATGTTGGCACCAACAACGAGGCTCTCATCAAGAATCCCCTCTGTAAGCAGACTCGCGTTAACCTCACAGCACATCCCAATCTCCATTACAAGATACATATATATCTGCTTACATGAGTTTTGCACAAAAATATTCTCAACCATCGCCCTTGCCCCTCCTTTTCTCTCATCAACAACTTCTTGAACAGGTGGTGTTGAGTCACCTTCCCCCATTCCGACCCATTCCAACCCAACCAGACCTGGGCTTGCGGCACCCTTGCCTGGACAAGGAGCACTATTCAATCTCATGGATGAATTTATGGGAGGTGGTGTTGGCTCAAACCTCCACCCATCCTGGCACGATCGAACCCATTCCCACCCATTCTAATCCACTCCAACCCACCCAGACCTGGGGTTGCGGCATCCTCGCCTGGACGGGGAGCACTACCTGAGCACTCCCTCATGGATGAATTCATGGAGGGACGGTGTTCATCGAAATCCCCACCCACTCAAACACATTTCTACCGATTCTCACCTGTTTCCACCTACGCCAACCCATTTCAACCCACTCAGACCTGGGGTTGCGGCACCCTCGTCTGGACAGGGAGCACTACCTGTCCTTAATGGACGAGTTTATTATGAAGAGGCGGTGAACTTTGAAACCCCCACCATTCAAACACATCTCAATCGATTCAAACCAATTCCCAACCATTCTCACCCATTTCAACCCATTCAGACCTGGGGTTGCGGCACCCTCGCCTGGACGGAGAGCACTACCTGTCCCTCATGGACGAGTTCATGGAAGCAGTGTTCTCACGCTGGCCCAACGTCATCGTGCAGGTGGGTAGTATCAGAGGCAGGTGGGAAGTTGGGAAGGTGTGGTGGAGGTAGTGCCTGGCCTGAGCACACTGCCTCTTCTCTCCCGCATGGATAAATTCATGGAAGCAGTGTTCTTGCGCTGGCCCAGCATTATCGTGCAGGTAAGTAGGTTGTATCAGGGCCAGGTGCCATGTGGGGGAGGAATGCTGCAGGTATCACCTGGATGGGGAGCACTACCTCTCCCTCGTGGATGAATTCATGGAAGCTGCAGTCTTCTCTCGTTGGCCCAACGTGATCGTGCAGGTGGGTAGTATTCATTCAGGAAGCATCCAGTGCAGGTATCGCCTGGACGGGGAGCACTACGTCTCCCTCATGGATGAATTCATGGAAGCTGCAGTCTTCTCACGCTGGCCCAACGTCATCGTGCAGGTGATATCTAAAGCGGGTGGGTGGCATCTGGTGCAGGTGATATCTAAAGCGGGTGGGTGGCATCTAGTGCAGGTGATATCTAAAGCGGGTGGGTGGCATCTGGTGCAGGTTGTTTCTCCGTTTATCACTCTACTTGGTTCAATGACTCGCCACCTGTGAGGCGCCTCAAAAGATGTGTTCCTGTGTTCTTGTGTGTGGTTGTGTGTCTCTTTATGTGTTCGTTCGCTTGTCTGTCTCTGTCTGTGTGTGTATTTGTGCGTGTGCATGCTTCCATCCATGTGTGCATGCTTCCATCCATGTGTGCATGCTTCCATCCATGTGTGTATGCTTCCATCCATGTGTGCATGCTTCCATCCATGTATGCATGCTTCCATCCATGTGTGCATGCTTCCATCCATGTGTGCATGCTTCCATCCATGTGTGCATGCTTCCATCCATGTGTGCATGCTTCCATCCATGTGTGTATGCTTCCATCGTGTGTGTATGTGCACACACCCGCTGCCTTACAGTTTGAGGACTTTGAAATGAGGTGGGCCAACACCCTCATGGATCGCTACAAGTCGCAGTATCGCATCTTCAATGATGATATCGAGGTGAGCACTCTTACCAGTGGTACAGGCGGTGGGTGGGAGGGAGGGAGGGCACTGAAGGGGGGATGTGAGTGCATGTGCGTGGGTGGGCCAACACCCTCATGGATCGCTACAAGTCACAGTATCACATCTTTAATGATGATATCGAGGTGAGATGTGCAAGTGCACAACACTCACACTCATGGATGCGGGTGCATGTGCGAGTGTACCAACACACTCATGGATCGCTACAAGTCGCAGTGCCGCATCTTCAATGATGATATCGAGGTGTGCTGCTCTACTTATGGGAGGGATGATGGCATGGATGTATGATAGGAGGGATGATGGCATGGATGTATGATGGGAGGGATGATGGCATGGATGTATGATGGGAGGGATGATGGCATGGATGTATGATGGGAGGGATGATGGCATGGATGTATGATGGGAGGGATGATGTCATGGATGTATGATGGGAGGTGCTGTAGTGTATGTGTGTGTTTCCCCCATATCCAATGCCCTCTCTGCCCCCTCTCTTCCTATCCTCCCCTCACCTTGAACATCAGGGCACAGGCGGAGTGGCAGTGGCTGGCATTCTCAACGTGCTGAGAGCGCAGCACCTCCCCCCTAAAGCTCTTGCCGACACCAGAGTGGTGGTTGCTGGCACTGGCAGGTGCGGCAAAGCGAGGGGGTAGGAGGAAAGCAAGGTTGTAAGTTTCTAGTTTTGAGACGTCTCAAAAGTAGGAGGAAAGCAAGGTTGTAAGTTTCGCTGAGAAATTTTCGCTCGAAAGCACTGATTTTATTTCGAACCGGTGAAATTAACGCAGGAGCTGAAAGACCTGAAAATCCAAGTGGCAATACGAGGGAGATTAATGGTGTGTCGAAAAAAACTTGAATGGTTGCTTCAACACACCAGTAATCTTCCTCGGATTGCCATTTGAGGTTTTGGCAGGTCTTTCAATACTTGTGTTAATTTTCACTGCTTTCAGGCCCTTTTGTCTGTACGTCGTCCGCTGATCACACTTCTCCCCTTGCAGATTTCGTAGTGGTTTTAAACCAATTAAAATAATCCCTTCAAGTTCTGAGAGCAGATGGAGTGCTGACGGCAATGCAGACGGCAGCAGAACGGGGTGACATTTGAGTCAACTTTAAAGTCACCTCCCACCACAAGGGAAGTAGATGGAGTGCTGATAGCAATGCAGACGGCAGCAGCACCAATCCAGCACCTAACACTCCTCTCAAGGCTCCTGCTCTTTTTGTTTTCTCTCCACTTTACCCTCACCTCGAACCCCCTCCCCTCCTTCTTGCTCCCACCACAGGGAAGCGGAGGGTGTGCTGACAGCAGTGCGGAGGGCAATGGCACCCGTCATTCTTCTTCCCTCCACCTAACCCTCCATCCCCAAACCCCTGCTCCTCTCCTCTCCTCTCCTCTCCTCCCACCACAGGGAAGTGGAGGGTGTGCTGACAGCAGTGCGGAGGACAACAGCACCCATCATTCTTCTTCCCTCCACTTAACCCTCTATCCCCAAAACTCCTCTCCTCTCCTCTCCTCTCCTCTCCTCTCCTCTCCTCTCCACCCACCACAGGGAAGCGGAGGGTGTGCTGACAGCAGTGCGGAGGGCAATGGTGGCGCAGATCGGGCAGGGTAAAGCTGCAATGGATCGGGCAGCTGAAAACTTCTGGCTCGTGGATGACCAGGTGAGGCGTTGACTGGCATTGACTGGCGTTAACTTTATGTCTCATTGACTTTGGTTGACTTGTGAATGACCAGGTGAGTCACTGGCTGGCGTTTTCAATTATGTTGGTAAGCTCTAAATCGCGCAGTCTTGAATCGACTTGCATTGAGCTGTGTTGACCTTTGTTGACCTTTGTTGACCCTGTGTTGTGTTCCCTCCAGGGCCTGATGACAGACGCCCGGGTGAGCTGTGCCCCTGAGTTTGAAGACCTTTGAAGGCGGTCGGACGACGATGAAAGGGTCTGACTTGCATTGACTTGCATTGACCTGCGTTGACCTGCGTTGACCTGTGTTGACCCTGTGTTCCCTCCAGGGCCTGATGACAGACGCCAGGGTGAGCTGTGCCCCTGAGTTTGAGGACCTTTGAAGGCGGTCGGACGAGAATGAGAGGCTCAAGGAGGGGGCGAGTCTGACCTGCGTTGACTTCTGTTGACTTGAATGCACGCTGTGTTTCCTCCAGGGCCTGATGACAGACGCCAGGGTGAGCTGCTCCCCTGAGTTGGAAGACTTCTTGAGGCGGTCGGATGAAGACGAGAGGCTCAAGGAGGGCACGAGTCTCGCGCACGTGGTGAAGCGGGTGAAGCCGCACGTGCTGGTGGGGCTGACCGGGTCGGGGCATCTGTTTGACGACGACGTTCTAAAGGCCATGAAGAATTCTGATGTGTCTCGGCCTGCCGTTTTTGCCCTGTCGCAGCCTGTGAAACAAGGTGAGAATGCTCAAAAACACCCTGCAGGGACATGGGGTGGGACTGACCGGGTCGGGCCATCTGTTTGACGACGACGTTCTCAAGGCCATGAAGAACGCCGATGTGTCTCGGCCAGCCGTTTTTGCCCTGTCGCAGCCTGTCAAGCAAGGTGAGGCCCGAGGTCTGGCTCATGTGGTGAAGCTGCACGTGCTGATGGGGCTGACCAGCTCTGACTTGCGATGACCAGCTCTGACTTGCGATGACCAGCTCTGACTTGCGATGACCAGCTCTGACTTGCGTTGACCAGCTCTGACTTGCGATGACCAGCTCTGACTTGCGTTGACCAGCTCTGACTTGCGTTGACCAGCTCTGACTTGCGCTGACCAGCTCTGACTTTCGTGAACCTGGTGGGGCTGACCGGGTCAGGCCATCTGTTAGACGACAACGTGCTGAAAGCCATGAAGAACGCCGATGTGTCTCGCCCGGCCGTATTCGCTTTCTCGCAACCGTGAAACAAGGTGAAGTGCGGTGAGGCAAGGTGAAGGAAGGTGGAGCAGGGAAGGAAGGGGTGTATAGCTGACCGGGTCGGGGCATCTGTTTGATGTCGTGCTGAAAGCCATGAAGAACGCCGACGTGTCTCGGCCTGCTGTATTCGCTCTCTCCCAACCGGTGAAACAAGGTGAGATGCGGTGAAGCACGGTGAAGAAAGGTGAGGAATGGTGGGGCAAGGGAAGGAAGGCGGGTACACCAGGGCGGGTCGGGTCATCTGTCTGACGACGACGTGCTGAAAGCCATGAAGAACGCCGACGTGTCTCGGCCAGCCGTGTTCGCCCTCTCCCAACCAGTGAAACAGTGTAGGATCCGTGGAGATTGTGGTTTGGCAGGGAAGGGGCACAGGATAGAGGGTGGGGCTGACCGGGTCTCGGCATCTGTTTGACGATGTCGTGCATGAAGAATGCCAACGTGTCTCGGCCTCCTGTCTTTGCTCTCTCGCAACCTGTGAAACAAGGTGAGGCATGGTGAAGCAGTGAGGCATGGTGAGGCAAGGTGAGGCAAGGCGATGCATGCTGAGGTCTGAGGGGGTTGCACTACCCATCTTTCCCGCCTCCCAGTACTTTTGAGACGGCTTTTGAGACGACTTTTGAGACGACTTTTGAGATGACTTCAGAGACGACTTTTGAGACGACTTTTGAGACGACTTCAGTACCTTAAAGAGGGGGTTGCACTACCCATCTTTCCCGCCTCCTAGTACCCTCGTTGCCACTGTCTCATTCCCTTCCCTCCCTGCTATACATTCCCATGTCTTCCCCAGTGGAATGCACGGCACAAGACGCCTTCAAGCTGCTGGGCCCCAACACCCTCTTCGCCTGCACCTCATTCCCTTCCCTCCCTCGTTCACCATTTCCCCCCAGCGGAGTGCACAGCTCAAGATGCCTTCAAGCTGCTGGGTCCCAACGCTCTCTTCGCCAGTGGCTGCACCTTCCCTGACGTTCGATTCCGTGAGTCCTGCGCCCGCATGCAGCCCCTCTGGTATGCCCACTCACCACCACCAGAGGGTATGCCCCTTCTATCTTCTGCCTCCCCTCACCACCTCCTCTGGTACGGTCCTTCTATCCTCTCCCTCCACACGAGCCAGGCCAACAATGTGTTCCTGTCTCTGGGATAGGATTTTTGAGGCACCTATAAAATCGTGTTCCTGTCTCTGGGATAGGATTTTTTAGGCGCCTCAAAAATCGTGTTCCTGTCTCTGGGATAGGCTGCGTTGGGTATGGGGTGTATTCCAGGCAGGCAACGTGAAAGGAGGGTATTTTTGAGACGTCTCAAATATACACCAGGCAGGAAAATTCACCCAGCTCTCCAACCTTCTCTGCTTGCAACCGCACCCTCCTCCTGCCTCCGCCCTTCCCTCCCTTTCTCAGCGAACAGCAAGGTGGGGCACACAAGCCAAGCCAACAACGTGTTCCTGTCACCAGGGTAGGCTGGGCGTGCCAACTTGACCCCCTCCACTCCCCTCCACCTGCTCCCTCCCCTTTTCCTCCCCTTTCCCACTCTCAGCGAATGGCAATGTGGGGCACACAAGCCAGGCCAACAACGTGTTTCTGTCTCCAGGGTAGGCTGGGTTGTGCACGGATGACGTCATGGGTGATGTCATGGTGAGGTCCTGGGGGATGATGGGGTTGACTCCATGCATACGTTGGTTGACATTCGTTGACCTTGTTGACTTGACTCACCGCATTCAAAAAAAATTGTTGGTTGTTATCCGTCTGATGCCTCATCTCCTGCTTTACTCCTCCAACATTTGTGTGACCTCCCTTCCTCCAAATTCCCTCCCTGTGCTCCCACTCCCCCACTCCCCTTCCCCCCTTCTCCCGCTCCACCATCCGTCACCCCCGTTGCCCTTCAGCATTTTGTCAGGGTCTCTCCTCTCGAGCGCTCGCATGATTTCAGATGGCATGCTGCAGGCCTCGTTGCAAGACAGCCACCCTCTTACTCTCCCTGTCTCCTCCTCCCCCCTCTCCATTGGCCCCTGCCTCCTCCCTCTCACCATCAGCATTGTGTCGGGGTCTCTCCTCTCAGGCGCTCGCATGATTTCAGATGGCATGCTGCAGGGCTGGTTGCAAGACAGCCACCCTCGTACTCTCCGTGTGTTATCCTCCCCCCTCTCCATTGCCCCCTCCCTCCACCCCTCTCACCATCAGCATTGTGTCAGGGTCTCTCCTCTCGGGCGCTCGCATGATTTCAGATGGCATGCTGCAGGCTGCAGTGGGTTGTGAAGCACCTCAAAACTCTTCCCCTCCTGCTCCACCCTCTTCCCTCCATCCTGCCGCTGTGCCCATCAGCATTGTGTCGGGGTCCCTTCTCTCAGGTGCTCGCATGATTTCAGACGGCATGCTGCAGGCTGCAGCGCACCAGTGAGTGCTGATATCATGGCATGGCATGGCATGGCATGGCATGGCATGGTATGGCATGGTATGACAGTGCATGAAGAGTGGTGCGGTTTGAGTGATTTCAGACGCCATGCTGCAGCGCACCAGTGAGTGATAAGTACACGGCGTGTGATGTGTCCTGGCTTCAAGGGAGGCGGGGGCAGGGAGAGTGCATGACACGTCTGTTGAAGCACAGATTGATTCATTTCAAACGGGATGCTGCAGGCTGCGGCGCACCAGTGAGTGCTGAGTGCACCGCACATGGCATGGTGCATCGCACGTGGCATGGTGCATCGCACATGGCATGGTGCACCGCACATGGCATGGTGCACCGCACATGGCAGGGTGCATCGCACATGGCATGGTGCATCGCACATGGCATGGTGCATCGCACATGGCATGGTGCACCGCACATGGCATGGTGCATCGCACATAGCATGGTCCATCGCACATAGCATGGTGCATCGCACATGGCATGGTGCAGCACACATGATAAAACCGAGGCCAATTTCGCTAGCCTATAGCTGGGGTAAAGAGCATTTGGATGGCACTAGCAGAGTACGCGACAGCGTGTAATGAGTCGTGTTTTGAGTCGACTCAAAACACGACTAATTTTGCTAGCCGATAGCTGGAGTAAAGAGCATTTTGATGGCACTAGCAGAGTGCATGACAGATGAGCACATGACCGGGGGTGCACAGGGGCATGCTGTATCCCTGCATGAGCGCCATTTGTGACATCAAGTCCCATATTTAATTCGCACCTCCGTCCCTCGTACCACTCTCCCTCTATCCCTCTCTCCCTCTATCTAGACATGGGCATCGAGGGTGGGGTTTTAGCTCGACTCGTCCGAGATGCTCGTCAGGTGGCGAGTGACGAGCCTGGTTTTTTCTGAAAAAAACTCGCCCGAGGCGAGGCGAGTTTTACTCGCCGAGTTTTATGTACTCGTCGCATGCTCGCCTTGGGCGACGAGCATTTTCGTGAAAAGTTCGTGCTCGACGAGTTTTTTTAACTCGCGGGCGATTTCGCCCGCAAATGCGCGCGGCTCGGCGATTTCGCCCGTCAATCCGCGCGGATCAGCGATTTCGCTCGTCAATTCGCGGGGATCGGCAATTGCGCTGTGCGGAGTGTGCCACTGGTCTTGTCAATCACTACGCTCAAATCTTTCTTTTGGTCGAGCAAACCCAATATGCCTTTCCCAACAAAATTGCCACTCGATTTCCCAACCAATTCGCCACCACTTACCTCTCTTCACCGCACTGAATCTACAAAACCCAACCACCAGATCCAGATTAAAAATCCAGATTCAGATCCCGTCTCTTCAGAAAGTGACCTTGCGCCGCCAGCCTATGGCCCATTGCACAACCCCCTTCCCTCCCCCGCTAGTCTACTCCGATATTCCCTTCTTAGCTAGCTGGACGCGTCCGTGGTAACCTTGTGCTTGCGAGTGGCGAGTCGAGCATTTCTTGTGTTCGGACGAGTTTTCTCCTAAACTCGCCCGAGCATGCCCAAAAACGACGAGTCACGAGTATGCAAAATGTTGAAAATTGCTCGTCAGAGTTTTGCTCGACTCGGGGCAAAAGCTCGTCGAGCAAGAGCATGGACGAGTCGAGTTTTGCTAGGAGAGTACATGACAGATTACTAGGTGCACAGGGGCATGCTGTACCCGTGCATGAGCGCCATTCGTCATATCCCATGTTTGCTTCACGTCTCCATACTTCTATTTCTCTATTCCACCATCCCTATCGCCCACCAGGCTAGCAGAGTACATGACATGACAGATTATCAAGTGCACAGGGGCATGCTGTACCCATGCATGAAGGCCATCCGTGTCATCACATCTCATTGACCTCTCCTTCCCTCCCTCCTTCTCTCCCTCTCCCTCACACCGTCTCCCACCGACCAGGCTAGCAAAGTACAAGACAGACGACCAGGTGCACAGGGGCATGCTGTACCCATGCATGAGTGCCACATCCCATGGTTCATCCCATTGACTTCCCCTTCCCTATCTCCCTCGCACCTGCACCTATCTCCCACCAGGCTAGCAGAGTACATGACAGATGACCAGGTGCACAGGGGCATGCTGTACCTGTGCATGAGTCACATCTGTGACATCACATCACATGTTCAAATCGCATTTCCATCCCTCCATATCCACTCTCCCTCTATCCCCATCCCTCCCACCGACCAGGCTAGCAGAGTACATGACAGATGATCAGGTGCACAGGGGTATGCTGTACCCGTGCATGAGCGCCATTCGTGACACCACGTCCCATGTTCAACTCACATCTCCATCCTTCTGTACCTCTCTCCCTCTATTCCCATCCCTATCGCCCACCAGGCTAGCAGAGTACATGACAGATGACCAGGTGCACAGGGGCATGCTGTACCCGTGCATGAGCCACATCCGTGACATCACGTCCCATGTGGCGGTGGCCGTGGCAAGGCGGGCGGCAGAGGAGGATCTAGCGGACGGCATTTCCAACTTGCATGCCGACCAACTGCTTTCCATGTCCAAGGTACTGATTTAGTGTGGTGAATTTATTGTGCATAGCGCTATAGTGTTGCCTTGCCATGTACATGCTTAGTTTCCAGATTGCTGCATAATGTGAATGATTGTATGGCTTGCCATCCCCAATGTTTCCAGGCACAGCTGCAAAAGGAAGTGGAGAAGCGAATGTGGGTGCCTAGTTACTCCCCTCTAATATTTGGAGGGGATGCATAATCTTGACAAGGATTCTTGAAACTCTGTAGAGCGCTTGCTGCTTTGTATATTCATATCCATGTTAGCCTGTTGACTTCAATGGTGTGTTTTGGAATGTGCTGCTCATTACCGTATCGCCCCGGATATAACCGCAGGCCTATTATAAGCGCATGCGCTTGTATCTGGAGCAATGCGCTTATGGCCGATCCTCAATTAGAAGCGCACCCCTGATAATTTTGTTACTTATTATAAGCGCACCCTTGTAATAAAAAAAATACACTTTGCATATATCATAATCTTTAGAGCTAAAGCAAGGCTAGACTTAAAAATACACTTATATTAAATTTCGCACTACCTAAAAGTTTTGCACATACAATAGGGTGACTATTGTCCTAGACTAGCGTTAGGCCTCCACTTCCTCCACGTCCGATTCAGGCTCCGTGGAGTTGTTGCCCCAGAACCCGTCTGCTTGGATGTCGTCGTCTACCTCTACCTCGTGGCTCAGCTGGCTTCTCCGGTGCGCCATCACCAAATGGTCCTCGCTCCCGTCGAGGGCATTGCTGATGCCGCACGTGAGGAATGACTTTTTAATCAGGTCTGCGGGCACGGCCTTCCACGCCCGTGAAATCCACTTGAGCACCACCTCCGGGGGTGGTTTCTTGATGTTCCCTGCACCACATGAAAGGGAGTGGGGACATTAGAACACAAGCAGGCAGACAAGCACACGAAGGGGAGACGGGAGGACATGTCCTCGCTCACCTGCAGGTGTTAGGGTGTTCATGCCGTCGGCCTCAAACCAGGACTGGTACTGCTGGCGAACACTTGCTTTGAAGCTCTTGTTCACCGACGCATCGAGCGGCTGCACGTCTGCCGTGCATCCCGCCGGGATGACTGCCGGTACGATGTTGAGCGCCGCGAATCTCGCCTTGACTTCCTTGGTAAGGTGACCACGGTAGGAGTCGAGTACTAGCATGGCGCTCCGACTCTGCACGCCGAATTTGGGTTTCAGGAACGGCACCACGCCCTCATCGAGCCACTGGATGACGCCCGTGGCTTCCATCCACCCGTTCGCTTGGCAGCCGACCACGACATCTGCACACAACCAAGCGGTGGTAAGTCCCTTTTTTTATAACGTCCAGAACACGCACAAGAACATGTGCTTACCGTTCGGGAAGTCACCCTTAGGGAGTGTCTTGCGCTTGAAAAACACCCACGGCTTCAACTTCTCGCCCGTCGCCGTGCACGCCAGCATCACGGTGACTCTTTCTTTCTAGTAACCAGCGCTGCGGATGGGCACCGACTTCACGCCCGTCTGCTCCACGGTGGTAGTGGCCGGCATCTCCAACCAAAGAGGTGTTTGGTCGGCGTTGATTATGTATCGATTGTCGATCGCGTACTCGTTGCGTGCGTCGCGGACGAACTGCCAAAATTCTTTGCACTGCGTCGCCACGTCTGCGCACGGGGAGGGAAGGACAGATAGGAAGAAGGATGAGTACAACTCATAAACCATGCGAATTCGCTAACAGTAAGCGGGAAACAAGGCACTTACGCTCCTGCGTTTTCTGCGCCACCTTAGTTTTCATGCGCACGCTGAGGTTCCACCGCTTGCGGAACCGCTCCGACCACCGCTGACTCCCTTTCCACTTGACTTCTGGGAACAGCACCTTCATCACTTCGCGTGACCATTCTTGGAGCCGGCCAACTGACACAGCAACACCGCGGCGTCGCCAATCGAGGAGTTGAGCGTACACCTTTAACTCCATGGGTCTGTACCACGAAGACCTCCCGCGACCATGAAGTCGACACCGTGCGGCATGTGAAGCCTTGAGCTCCTCTGCTTGGCTTTTCCACTCCGTCAGGCATTTGCGGTGTATGCCAGACTCCCGCGCGACCTCGCTTACAGATGCCGCCAGCTCCAGCCACACGAGCCACCTGAGTTTCTCCTGGGAGGTGTAGGCCTGCCGTTTATGTTGAGACGGCTTGTGCCTGGGAGAGGGGGGGCGGGAATCTCGGTTCTGGGAGGAGGGGTGGGGTCGTTTTTTGTTAATCGGCGGATACGTCGGTATCGGCATCTTCTCGCGTGGTGCGTCGCGCCACCATGACTCCACACCGTCGTCGTCCTCGGCACTTGCACCACGATCTGGGAACACGTCCTCCTCGGCGCCCGCTTCACCGTCGCCGACACCGTCGCCGTCGCCGCTGTATTGTTTATTGGCGGCCACGTCATCGTCGGCGCCCACGGCCGACTCGTCCCACGTGCTGGCTTCGGGCTGTTCCCACCGTGGTGCAGGCGGCGGAGCCTGGATGAACACACCAGGGGCCTTAGGTGTGTCCGGTTCAGACAGCCACTCGTCGAAAGTGGCTGGTAAATACAGCTGGAGCACGGGCCGTTGGTGAGCACTGGCACCGATATCAGGCGGATTCGGAGGAGCGGGAGGTGCGGGAGGAGCAGGAGGAGCAGGAGGTGCTGGAGGAGCAGGAGGAGCAGGGGGCGCTGGGGGTTCAGGTGGCACTGGAGGCGCTGCGGGCTCACGGGTATACCACCCGTCGTCGGTAAGTCGCCATGGGCGAGCTCTCTTGTTCTTGAAGATGAAGTGCGTCCCGCTGAATTCCGCCATGGCTTCGCCAGCCAGGCGGCCTACACTGGAATCTTGAATGAAAAAAATGAAAGAGATGATGAACAAATGGGCAACGAAGGGGACCCCGTAAGGTTGGCGCCTCGGGGTCCTCGTCAATGACAGGCGGGAAACCCCCGCCTACCCCCGTAGAGGACCCTGCGTGGCAGCATAATCGCTGCGCTGGCAGGGAATATTCGCCACCCTTCGAGAGGGTTCGGGGGAAATGCAGATGCCACGCAATGCATGCGACTGTGATTGGGCCGCACGGCAACATCCCCGTCACTGCTGTCACGATCGATGGTTCTAGACAAAACTGTGCGGTGGGAAACCGAACCGCTGCTGTTTTTGTCTGAAAACCATGCACGATCCCACGTGTTGCATGGTCGGTTGAATTCGCCTTATTGCGGGCTTCAATTTGGTATGTTTAAAAGTGAATATTTTTTTTTCCTATTACAAGCGCATGCGCTTAAAAAAATGACTCGATTAGAAGCGCACCCCCCTAAAAAACACTGCTTTATTATAAGCGCACCTGCGCTTCTATCCGGGGTAATACGGTAGTAGCCAATATAGTGCTAAATAGCAACGATTATCGGCAAATGGTTTTTGCTGTAGGCCCAGAATTCTCCACGCTTTTCCTGCGACATTTGCGAGCGCGTACGACTCATCCAGGGGGTTACAGAAACCCATCGTCCCGTACCTCCACCGTCCCGAACGTGGAGGAGCTTTGATTCGTGCGCGACTCGACCACACGCCGGACCAACGTGGTCCGAACCGAATACAACCGATGTTTCGCCGCCAAGTAAAAATGGCACTCCTAAACCCTGAAACTACCCTTCGAATCGGCTCACAACCATCAACCACACTGGACTCCCGCCATAACACAACCAGCCAGTCCCCGTCGTTCTGAGTGCCTGACAGCCCTACGCCAAACGTATGGTCCATTTTTCATTAGGACCAGGAGAACAAACGGCCTCCACAGCAGCGGCAGACGAAGGAAGCAGCAAAGACGACATTATTCAACACGCACAGCCAATCTTCAGGCATGACAAGCAGCTCGCTGTTTTGTTTTGAGTTCCTCGTTTTTCCGTCGTCGCATCCATAACACTCTGCTCGTGGCTGTGCATAAAGAGCTCTCCCTGCTCCTGATTCTGTACGCTTTCGGTAGTGCAGTGCAGCCATTATTCAGTCCAAAGTGTTCTCACCTTCCTCGAGTTGAAAGTGTCACTGTTCGCGCAAGAGGCTTTACAGGACGCACACACTTAGTAGGCTACAGAATAGCGCATTTGTAGCGTTTTATGATCATCAGTACCAGCGGACTGCGCTTTCTTGAAGCGAATCGTATTAGACGTTTTCGTCGATTGCATTTCCCAGGAAAAGGGCAGAGGCAAAGCAGGAAATATAACATTTCTCGCGGCGCTCACAGTCCCGTCTCGTCAGTTTTGGTACTCTCGGCTACCAGACTTAGCCTCTCTAATGGCTCGAATCGCCTTCTTAGCCTTAACTTATGCAACCCTCAGCTTGTTGGTTTTAACACCTTACAATGCCGCAAACGCCGCGCTAGCACCATCGTCCGCACCGGTGGAATATGCAGCGGGACTTGCCGTGGCGGGACTCGCTTCGGGGGCTGCGCCGGCTGCGGCGGCGCTCCCGATCTGCCCGCGGACGGGCGCGCGGCCCGTGAAGCCGACAGTGCCGCCCATTCGGTGCCTGTCTGCCTCCCAGTACACGTGCTGTAGCTCGTGCGAGGACTTCGTCATCTCGCTACAGCAGGTAGGCCATATTTTCGCCTCAGCAAGTAGGCCGTCATTTCGCTACAGCAGATAGGCACCCGCTTCTCGCTACAGCAAATAGGCCGCGAAGTCGACACAATTAGGAGAAAGGTCTAAAGCGATTACCATGTCGTAGCACGTACAAAATGATAGCTGGATTCTACGGCATGATCATCTCATACACCGCATTGACATAATGTCCGTAGTAATCGCTTTCTGAGGCCCCTCAAAGATCGAATACCGTGTCGAATCACGTACGAGGTGTTTCTCGTTTACATTTTCATCTGATCGTAATAATGTCCAAAGTGTTCGCTTTTCGAGGCGCCTCAAAGATCGTCTCGGTGGTCTCCAGAGTATTACATGTCACATGTGATACGGTCATCTCCCACTACCATAATCTTCCAGTTTATAGACGTCGAAAAACTCCCACTGTCGTAATCTCCCAAGTAGTAGTCAGTATCGTTCCTCGCGCTACAGCCTCGCGCTACAGCCTCGAGCTACGGCCTCGTGCTACGGCCGACTGTGCCGTATTCTCCCATCAACCCCCCATTGTCCCTCCGTAGAACGCGCCGGTGGTCAACGCGACGGCTCGTCCCCTGGCTGTAGCCCCACCGCCTCGCGCTACAGCTGGCGG